ATGTCCTGTGCTTGCAACACTCCTGACAATAGTGTCAGAGATGGTGGACAGCAAGGAGGGCAGCACAGGGTTTTGGGTTTTTTTGTTTTTTTTAAAAGGTGCAACAATTCTGGGATACGGATGACATTATGGGATGGAGAAAGTTGCCTGCTGGGAAGTTGACCCCTTGCTCCCAGTCACCCCTGCGTGACTCTTTTCTGTCCCAGCATACATAGGCAAAACTTCCCAAAAGACAGTGCATTGGACAGTGGCAAGTTTTGGATGGATCCCCAAGTGCACATGGCACACTGTTATATGCTGAAATGATATTCTTGCAGTGAGGGTGCTCTCAATATTTTACTTGAAACATAGTTTCAGGTAATACTCTAGCTTCTCATGGAAGACTAATGCTAACAAAAAGCACACTTTCTGATTCATGTATTGTTATTCACAAAACAAATGAGTTTGGAAAATGGAAGCATTAGTGTTAAATGGTCACAGAAACCAATAAAATGCAAAGCTCAAATCATTGTAACACCCACACAGCTGGAATGAATTCATGCAGAAAGTCTAGCAAAGCTCAAAAGAGGAAACTATACATTTCCTCATGTTTAAAAATACATGCTTGTTTTTCTTTTTTGAACATATTTTCTGTGTGATTCATCACAATATGTTATCTGGTTTGGAAAGACAGACATACCTCAGAAAAGGGAACAGCCAGTCTCTCTGCATGACATATGCCAGGGGTGGCCAACCTGTAGCTTTGGAGCCATATTGTTATGCTCATACAAAGCACACAGGATCTTTATAGAGGAAGGCAAATACGAAGCATTTATTGAAAATACGACAGTTAGCATATGCTTTTCAGTCACACACACACACACACACACACACAGTACTGCCAGTGATGTTCATAGTTACCAGTCTGTTGTAGCTCGAGTCAATCTAATGGCCAGTTAGATCGAGTACGAGTGTGGAGCTGGGCTCTTGTCGGTCGCGATCCGATGCTCTGAGGCTTTGCAGGACTGAACCCAGAATTCCATAGCAAAACACCCCAGCTTTATAGTTGTAAATTCCCATTTGAGTCCATGCATTTTGCAATGTCATCCTGTAATCATTAGTCCTTAAGTGGTGTTATCATTTGATGGTTATTATCGGGCTTCCCATCATTATCTCCTATTTGTTGTCTCGCCTTCGGGGGTCACCTCGGAGGTCGTCAATGCTGCTAACGTGTTTAGCATCGGATACAATGGATGTTTTCTGATTGTCTCCTGGTCTTTCCAAGTCTCTCACTTCTTCTTGACCATCTGGACATTTGTGGTGGCTTTCACACCTTATCTTTTTCTGATGCATGCATTCCTCATTCACACAAACAATTTCTTACAGAAACCTTCAAAAGTATACAGACAGCAGTATTGTATATTTAGCAGAATACATTGTAAATCAAATCTTGCTAAATCTTATAACTAAAACAATTCACATTGGGGCTTCAGGCCCTCAACATTCCTCTAATCTCCTTAACATAGATACAATACAAGATCCTGTCTCTTACTTACTAAAACCTTAAAACAAAGAAATGTATATTTAACTAGAGTGCCTAATTTGTAATACATATAGGAAACCATAGTAGACATTATAACTTATCCTAAAACAAAAAGGTGACCATAATCAGTCATAAGGATCGTTCTGGTCTGTCATTTCTTTCTGCTATTCAAAAAGGGTGGCTGACAGAATGAAATCAAATCATACATTAATTCTTATGGGACATTATAAAATTCTGCTCCTACAATATGCGGCTCTTCAGAAGTTAATATGTGGCTCCTTGTATAGGCACCAACTCCGGGGATGGAGCTACAGGCGCCAACTTTCCAATGTGCCATGAGGTGCTCACTGCTCATCCCCTGGCTCTGCCACAGGCCCTGCCCCCACTCCACCCCCCTCCCCTGAGCCTGCTATGCCCTCGCTCCTCCCCCTCCCCCCCAGAGCTTCCTGCATGCCATGAAACAGCTGATGGGGAGGGAGGGGGAGGGCGCTGATCGGCGGGGCTGCTGGTGGGTGGGAGGCACTGGGAGCAGGTTGGGGGAAGCTGATGGGGGGTTGCTGACGTATTACTGTGGCTCTTTGGCAATGTACATTGGTAAAGTCTGGCTCCTGCTCAGGCTGGGCACCCCTGGCATATGCTGTTAGTACTCATGTGAATAATTACTACAACTCTAGCACTGGCCCTCTGTTTCTCATTGTGCAAGAGATCGATCACTCAAGAGATTTCCTTGGCTAGTTGAGGAGGAGAGATTTGAATGGTTGTAGAAAGAAAGAACCTCACAACATTAATGGGGCTTCAACATGGATCATGGCTTAAAGTCAAGAGTTTACATAGGAGGAAAATATCCCCTCTACTCTTTGCTGACCAGTAAGACGATTTCTTCCTTCTCCATCTCTCTCCAGAGTGCAAGTTCAGTACTCTTGGGTGTGTGTTTCTCTCCTCCCCTTTGGAAGAAGATTCTAGTAGTGGCTTTTCTCCTCTTTCTGTTAGGGAATCTGGAGATTTCCATACCACTGGCTCAGTTTTCATAGTTCTCCCCCATTTTCCATGAGTGGCTGGGGAGTACACATGTGATTGGTGCACCACTATGTTGAGCTCAGTCCCTGGAGAACAGTATCACCACCACAGTAAGGCTGATTGAGTAATGCATGTAGTCGTATTTTGCATGCACAGGAATAGAGGCAACAGCTTACAGTGAAGATTGGTACAAATTCCTCACTCTAGAACATAGGTAGCGGAACCTCACTGTACTGAGTTTTAGGTTTAACATTTGGTTATAATTTTTTTTATTTGATTTACTTGCATCGTGTCACATGCTTTACATATGATAATAAGGGGTATTGTAAATAAGCTTTTTGTAAAATGAGTCCTGGTGACTATAAATTGACATCAGCATCCCACAATATACAAGCACTTAACTTGAGTAGAAGTCTAGATATTTTACAGTGAGAATTTGTTACATGTTAATAGAAAGTTTTTTAAATTTGCAATATAAAACTAAGTGGAGAAAAATATTAACTTTTTATCTACTTCATCAATATTTTATTAAGTATTTTGCTAACAAGCTAATTACATAATGGTTGGAGGGGGGTTTAAATAAAGTTTATTTCTATCTTTAGGAGTGCACGGTTGTACCTAAAGCCACAACACTTCTGTTTTAGCACTTGTATGACAGAATCCAAACTAATTTTCTCATCCATATTTAATTAGGGAGGGAAAAGAGCATATATACATCTGGGCTGAGATTTTGTAAATCCAATTACACCTGAGAGTGAATTTCTATTAGATTTCTATAGCCATTGATGGGAAATCACTGATAAGGTTTTTGAATTTAGCTACATTTGAAGGCATATTTACAGGTTTTATCATTTGGACCATTTTTATATGTTTGATATTTATTCAACCACCAGAAGACCCTATAAAATTTTAATGACAAAAATCTTTGATCTGTGTAGATAGGCCAACAACTATGCATTTGTCTTCACTGCCACCACAGGGGGCAGTCCAGTATTTGATCTTTACTGCACAAACAGACATGTAATAAATGCAAGTATTTAAATAACTTGGCTTCCCTTATGTTGAAGGATTTTGCCACTCAGCAGATACATCAACTCTGAGATCAACATGTGAAACATGTGAGAAGGCATAGTACACCTCTACCCAGATATAACGCTGTCCTCGGGAGCCAAAAAAATCTTACCACGTTATAGGTGAAACCGCGTTATATCGAACTTGCTTTGATCCGCCGGAGTGCGCAGCCCCCCCCCCCCCGGAGCACTGCTTTACCGCGATATATCCAAATTCGTGTTATATCGGGTCGCGTTATATCGGGGTAGAGGTGTAGTTAGCTTATTTAAAGGGGAGAAATATGTACTTCAAACAGGTTCTATTCCTTTAACCCTCAGATTTCCCTAATACAAATTATAATGAGTAAAGATATGATTTTGTCACAGATTCCATGACTTTCATGGACCTCCATGACTGTTGGCTGGAGCTGCTGCCCGGGGTAAGGTTGGAGCTTTGCCTATTAGTCCCCCCCCATATTTTTAGTAAAAGTCATGGACAGGTTGCAGGCTTCTGTGAATTTCTGTTTATTGCCCATGTCCTGTCCATGGTTTTTACTAACAATACCAATGACAAAAATCAACCTTAACATTGAGTCAACTAGATTTTCAACAGCTGGAACGGTCAAAGATTTCTGAAGTGCAGGAGAAGGGATTTACCCGTTACAATAGTACTAGATGCAGGAGCACTGTCAGCTTTTCTGCCGCCCAAGGTGGAAGAAGGTCCCACCCCGAAATGCCGCCCCCCACAGAGGTGGCAGAAGGTCCTGCCGCCAAAATACTGCTGCGGCCGCCACCCCCCAAATTGTAGCGCCCTAGGCGACCGCCTAGGTCGCCTAGTGGGTTGTGCCGGCCCTGACTAGATGTACAGGATTGGGGAAACCTAGCTCTTTAAGGAGGTGTGAATCAGGATAGAGGGCATGTCTATATTACGAAGACTGCACCCGCGTAGCTATGCTGGCAGAGGTTTTTCTGTCAGTGTAGGACCACCACCTCCTTAAACAAACGTTAGCTACATTGACAAAAAGCAATCCCTGGGGCTATGGTAGCAGAGCTTTGTCAGTTATGAGTCACTCACTTGCAGTTCTACTTCACCAATGCAAAAGATATGTAAAAAATGAGAGATACAAAGTAAAAAAGGGTAATTTACAAATTAACATCTTGGAGATGCTGGTGGTAGGCGAAGGAAGGTTGGAGGGAATTCTTCATGCTTACCACCTCCACTCTGGCGATTACCCTATAGAGAACACATTTATATTATTTACTAGCATTTAGGTGACCCTGTGGCAGGTGGGATAGATTTATGTTCTATTCAGTGCCCATTGGCAAACAAGAGGCAACATCTTCAGTAGGTGTTCAATGATATACTCAATATGCTCAACTTAAGCCAAGTGAAAAAACCAAGAGACCTGGGCTCAGTTCTTGGCTCCACATCTCGTGATCCTTAGGCCTGTTGGGTACAAGAACACTATCAAAGGTAATGTGCTCATCTTCTTGACGCAACAGTCCCTCTGGCTAATTTTGGAGCTCAGTTAATAGGCTCTATTGCAGCACTCCTCGTTGGAGAGCAGAAAGGTGATTGTAGATGGAATGGAATACACAAATTGGGAAGATCAGGGTTTTGCATAGTATCTGAATGAAAAAAAAGTGTCTCTCCCCCCCGCAAAAAAGTTGAATACATTCAAACTCAGGACATTTATTTTAAAGCATTCTTGTGCTTAGTTTTTCATGCACACAAAGAATGAGATAATATCGAAATCTCATCTTTTATTTTGTGGCATTTATTCAGAAAGTACAGCCGTGACATTTAAAAATAGTTAAATTTGAAAAAATTGGCACATCATCTGAGTAGGTTTTATTAGCAGCTTAATTACTATAGCTATATAATTTCTAGGAAAATACCATGTTAATTTTAAAAGATAAAAGACAGTATGAAATTTTGCTACTTGTACTACTTTATCATACAATACAGAGAAAATCTGTTAGTCATCACTAGAGGCAATAGTATATTATAAATAAGTATCCATTTTAATTACAGCTTAAATAATTTTCTCATCAATTCTAATGAAAAGTAGTATACAAAACTCCAACCTTTCGGTCACATAGTACAATCTTCCTGAGATCTTATATCCACATTTTTTTTTTTTTTTTAAACAAAATATTTACTGTGAGGTCCGTGATCTCCAAGATATAAAACTAAAATAGGCATTTCCTGCATAGCAGAAGGTAACCACAAAGGCGAAGAACTATAGAGAGAGGGAAAAGAAAAAACAAACATTAGAAAAAAATAGTATCTTTTTAGAGCATTTTAATTTTATGAAAAGGATTCGATAGAAGAGAAATAGTTACATTAATAAAAATGGTGCTCATTTAGGATCTGATCCTGCCAACTTAACTCACAAAGAGAAGCAACTTATTTTATTATTCCAATAGGACCATATTGATGGAGGAAGGCACTACTCAAAGTGAATATGGTGACAGAGTCAGACCATTACTGTAAATACAGTACCTAACTTTTGCAAGCTTTAACTGTTCTTGTATACTTCTTCCCCCTTCTCCTTTAAACTTTTTATGTATTACTCGAATAGCTGCACATCAGCTATTCTATATATTTTAATACCACCCAGTGCCAATGGTAAGGCTTCTGTTATCACTGAAAGTTATTTAAAATAGACAGCTTACGTTAAGCAATTATGAAAATTTAGGACCAACCAGGGTTAACAGGTACAATGTATCTGGTTTTATATGTTGTCATGGGCCTGATTCTGTCACCCTTACTACTGGAGCAAAGTACCACTGAACATGTATAAGGGTAGAAGAATTAGGGCTCAGATTAGACACCTGTATAATGATGCTAAAGAGTATATAACATCTGTTGGTGAGCTTTGTTTAACCAGAAGCACCAAACAAATCGTAGGAATTGGTGTAAAATATGGTTAATATAGAACACCGTGAGAATGTTGTTGCATTCTTAGTTTTGGGAAGTTTTGAGTCTTTCCTGAACTGCTCATGAACAAAAACCTGAATGCTTTCTTTTAGTTATGAGAGCATGTTGGGTGGAGATGATTTTGTTACTACTGAATTCTTAAAAATCTCTTTTTAGGAATAAGCAGGGGATGGAGGAACGTTTAACAAGCTCTCAGAGTAATAATCCAGGATTAACAGTTAAACAGCATTATGTGCAAGTAGCACTAAAAGCTATCAGAAGAGGTCCCAGGACATCTCAGATGATCTGACTGATCTGTGGAGCATTAATGCATTCTGCTTAAAAACCCGAATCAGCACAACTTGTATAGCACCAAACAAGTTCCAGCCAAAAGCAACACCCACTGAGTGACAGGCCTTTAATTATGAGGTGCCAAGAGGGAAATAAAACACTAAACACCAGGGAGGTGAGAGAGAAGAGGTCCTCCACATGGGTGGCGGGTGATGTTTCCCGTTGTGGAGCCTAGCCCCTGCCTAGTCTCTTCCGACTGCAGCCCCGCCTCTTCTGGCTGAAACCCCGCCCCTGCTCTCAGCCCCCCCCATGGCCCTGGCGGGGGTGAGGGGTGAGGGGGAGGAGGGCTGAGAGCTCTGTAGATTTACAAAACCTAAAACAGGATATTCCCATTTCAGCTCACACTTTTGAAAATTCCATTCTCAATGTAACGTTGTCATACATAGAATATATTCGTTTTTAATTATTTTTTTAAAATAACTCACTGAAGAAGCTGCCCAGCTGTTGTAATTGTGGCTGTTCTGCTCATTGGTAACTGAAGATGAATTTACAATGGCAGCAATGAGGTACAAAATAAAGGCACTTCCATTAAAGCATAGACCCTAGGCCAGGACAGGGGAAAAAAAATAAAAAATTAAACAACATTTGATATTGAGTACATACTTCTACTTGCCATGTGCTACAACTACAGGGAAAAATTCTCCTCTCAGTTATATCTGAAACCCTACTGAATTCAGGGGGGATGCACTGATGCAATTGTGAGGAGAAGTTGGCCTCTCGTGTGAACACCCCCACACCATGTAGCTGAAATACAATTCCCAATTATCCTTACTACTGCTGTAATTAAAATAACCCAACAGTGTTATAACTATAATGGCAAGTGCTACTTATGAAACTTAATATAAACAACATTTGAACGTAATCTTAATTGTTTCACCTTGTAACTCTGGATATTAGTAAGAACACAGTCAAATTTTATGTATTTTAATACAACTATTGAAACAAATTCTGCTTTCCTTTACATCACAATAAATCCAGAGTAACACCATTAAAGACAGTGGAGTCCGTGGATTTCCAACAGTGAAAATGAAGGCAGAATTAGGCTTTATTATATCAATATTTTAGGCAACAGAAATACAAATACCAATACACCAAAAAAAATAAAAATAAAAAGCCACTTGATTAAGTTTCTAAACATGAAGAAAGTTCTGCATATGAATTAACCACAGTCAGAATGCTTGCACAGTTTTATGCTCCTCCATTTTGGGGGAGGTCAGGTGGGGAAGGGAGTCACTCTTCCAAGATGAAGTCTCCCATCACGCAGTCTGGCCCCCTTTCCTGTGACAGAAGCAGGGGCGGCCCGTCCATGCAGGCAAACTAGGCGGTTGCCTAGGGTGCAAACTAAATGGGGTACCAAATTCGAGGGGGGGTGGAAACAATTAAAAAAATACAAATAAAATAACGAAGATGTCATTATTTCAATTCTCGTGTGCGTACAGAGGGAATATGAATTATAATTCATTTCTCTACATTTCTGAGAATTTATTAATATGCCAAATCTTTTATTTACTGCAAAAATAAATAAGATTTTAGCTATTTTTTTTTTCAGTTTGCGATGGAGGGTCAAGATGACCCACTCCGCAATTTTGATAAGCAATAACTCAGCCACAATTAAACACATCCGCCAGCAGCAAGATCTGCAATGCTAGTGACACCTAACTCGAATATACATCCAGGTCGCATAGCCGGAAATTCATGTGGAGCAGAGATATCACGAGTTGACAGATGTTAAACAGTCATTTTAACACATGCCGCAGGTAGATGGTTAAGAATCGAGTGAATACTGTGGAAAATTGTGTTTTATAATGCTGAAAGAAGTTAGTCTTTATTCTTTGGCATCAAAAATCGAAAATGTGAGTATCTTTAAGCATTATTAAACCTTAGCGTTATTATCGGGCTATATAATTATGAACTTTTCTTTGTTATAACTGGTTCACATGTAATAAATAAGGTCCACAAAATAAAAGTAACAGCATTAATGCTTAACAGACTACAAAAGTGATGAGGTCACACTTCAAGTGGGTAACCGTGAGGAAGGGGATTACTTTCCAAACAACCGGTGTCGGGTTATCATGTCGAAAAAGATCATTTTGTTTCCATGTAAATGCTGTAACTGTTTTAATAGGTGAGTGTATGTTACTAATCATTGAATCTTTAAGCAGTGAAAAGATGTGTTGGGATGGCTGCAATGTGGTTTAAATCGCCAGCCATGTGGTGGGTGTGTCAGCCATCCTTAACGCTATAATGCTTGCAGTTGGGAGCACAGTACATAATATTCAAATGCCCCAAGGCAGAAAGAGGAAAAAGAAAACCCTCAGGAGCCAAGTATTGTAAATGAAAGGCCGAGAAGGAAAAGGACCAAGCAAAACAGCAGGGATCCTTCCTGAAATATCTTCTCTTTAATCCAAATAAAGATGGAAGCAGTTCACAGCATCCAGATGAAGGAATTTTACTTGGAGATGAGGGTAGCTCACATCCACAAAAAAGCAGTTTGGAAACTCAAGATGATGGAAACTTACTTCTAGATGGAGGCAGCTCACAGCATCAGACTGATATGGAAGTGGAGAAAATTTATTCACCTTCAGAGAGATAGGCAGAAATTGAAGTAAATGAAGTAGAAGGAAGAAAGGATGAGGAAGCTACAAACAAGTTACAGTATGGGGACCCAGCTTCATGGCCCAGATCTGATGACAGTGTGCGGCAAATTCTCGTGGAACATGGACCCGAACAAGTTCATGAATTTCCCTTCCCCAAGGATGGAAATAAAAGAAAAATTCTCTGCTCAGCATTACAAGAGGAAACTCATTAATGGGGAAGAAATTCATCGAAACTGGTTATAATATTCAGTGTCAAAGGACTCTGTTTTGCTTTTGCTGCAACTTGTTTAGAAATCAAGCAATTGGTACATCACTTACTGAAAATGGTTTGAAGGACTGGAAAAACATATCTTCAATTCTCTCTTCACATGAAAGTAGTACAGAACATTTGGAATGTTTTCAAAATTGGAAAGAATTTGAACTACGATTGAAAAAAGGAAAAACTATCGAAGAAAAATTACGTGTGATCAAAGAAAAAGAATATTGGCAACAAATATTAGAGTGTCTGATTGCTTTAGTGAGAGTTCTCGGTGGGCAAAATTTAGCATTCCGCAGCCATGGTAGAAATGAAAAAAAATTATACACTCCAGGTAATGGAAAAACTTTTTAAAATTTGTTGAATACCTAGCTTTGTTTGATCCAGTCATGAAGGAGCATCTACGTAAAATAACTGATCATGAAACACAGGTTCATTACTTAGGAAAAAAATATGCAGAATGAACTGTCAAATCCTAGCAAATGCCATTAAAAAGAAAATTGTATTTTGCAGAATGGGCAGCTTCTACTTTTCAATAATACTGGACTGTACACTAGATGTGAGTCATGTTGAACTAATGACGATGATCATTTGTTTTGTGGATATGGAAAAGTCTGCAGATGAAGATAATGCTGAAGTGCTCATAAAGGAACATTTTTGGGGTTTCATACCACTGAAGGAGACGACTGGAGAATTTATGACAAACTATTCTACAAGAACTTGAAACAATGTCATTATCTGTTGAAAACTTACGTGGCCAAGGCTATGATAATGGGAGTAATACGAAGGGTAAAGACAATGGTGTGCAAACGAGAATGATGGAAATCAATCCTAGGGCCTTTTTCGTTCCTTGCAGTGCGCATTCTCTGAATTTGGTTGTCAATGATGCTCCTAAATGCTGTTTGGAGGCAAGTTTCTTTGACCTGGTGCAACGTGTTTATGTGTTTTTTCTCAGGCTCAACACGCCGTTGGGAGATTCTGACTCAGCATGTGAACTCTCTAACTGTAAAACCACTTAGTCAGACAAGATTGGAGAGTCGCATTGATGCTTTGAAGCCTCTTTGCTATGAACCTGGAAACATTTATGATGCCCTAATTGTAATTTCTGATGATACTACCTTTACTGGATCATCTGGCAATATGGCACGTTCAGATGCAGAAGCTCTTGCAAATGGCCTTTCCAAGTTCAAATTTGTGACTTCACTCATTTTGTGGTGTAATATCCTTTTCGAGATTAACTTCACCAGTAAGCAGCATCAGGAAAAGAACTTGAACATACATTCTGCTATTCAAAAACTGCAGCAAACTAAAAATATTCTGGAGGAATTCAGAAGTGATGAAGGGTTCAAAAGAACACTGGTAGATTCTCTCGAGCATGCTGAAGAAATAGACTTTCCGACAGAATTTGAACCAGAGCCAGTTCGTATTCGGCAAAAGAAACGGCAGTTTTCGTATGAAGGATGAGACACACCCATTCAGAACCCAAAACAAAGGTTCAAAGTGAATTTCTACTTCGCAGTTCTTGATACTGCTAGTCACTCGGTTGACGAAAGATTTCAACAGATGCAGCAGCAGCAGCTAGAGTCGGTATTTGGCTTTCTAAATGATCTCCACAGCTTACAAAAGAAAACAACAAAACAGATAAAATAATTTTGTATAAAACTGGAGTCGGCATTGACTCATGAAAATTCAAAAGACATCGATGCTACAGATCTGTGTAGTGAGCTTCAGGCTTTTTCAAGACAAGTTAAGAAACATTCCACTCCTGAAGAAGTACTGAAGTTTGTTTGTGAAAATAAACTCAGACAATTTTCCAAATATTTTTATAGCTCTACGCATTCTTTTAACTTTGCCAGTTTCCGTAGCTAGTGGGGAACATAGCGACTCAAAGTTAAAATTGATAAAAACATATCTGCGTTCAACAATGGTGCAAGAGAGACTTGTTGGACTTGCCACAATGTCAATAGAGCATGAAATAGCTGGAAAACTGGATCTAAAAGAAACGGTTACTCACCTTTGTAACCGTTGTTCTTCGAGATGTGTTGCTCATATCCATTCCAATTAGGGTGTGCGCGCGCCGTGTGCACGATTGTCGGAGAATTTTCTACTCTAGCAACACCCGGTGGGTCGGTTGTGGAGCCCCCTGGAGTGGTGCCTTCATGGTGCTGGATATATACCCCAGCCAACCCAGCGCCCCCTCAGTTCCTTCTTGCCGGCTACTCCGACAGTAGGGAAGGGGGGCGGGTTTGGAATGGATATGAGCAACACATCTCAAAGAACAACAGTTACAAAGGTGAGTAACCGTTTCTTCTTCTTCGAGTGCTTGCTCATATCGATTCCAATTAGGTGACTACCAAGCCTTACCTAGGCGGTGGGGTCAGAGTGAGACATCGCTGAGTGCAAAACCGCTGATCCGAATGCAGCATCGTCTCTGGACTGCTGTACAAGCGCATAGTGAGCGGCGAAGGTGTGGACCGATGACCAAACCGCCTCTCTACAAATGTCCTGGATCGGGATGTGAGCCAGGAAGGTAGTTGAGGAGGCTTGGGCCCTCGTGGAGTGGGCGGTGAGGCGTGGTGTCGGGGCACCGGCCAGGTCGTAGCAAGCACGAAGGCAGGATGTGATCCAAGAGGAGAGACGTTGCATGGAGACCGGTAAACCTTTCATCCGGTCGGCCACTGCAACGAAG